AAATTTTAATCAGTTGATAGCAAATTTCACATAGCCCACTTAACATTTATAAAGTGAAGAGTAACCAGTCTACTCACAGCATGGGATTATTAGAATCAAACATTTTGAAAGCTGTCCTTGAAGGACTAATAGAAAAGTGTGTTCTAATCTTTACATGAGGACTCTGTATTCTTTAACTCCCGTTACCATGTAATGGCAGTTATATTTTTGCAGTTTCCACTTTAAAGAAGACTTTAGAATGTATCCCCAAAAGCGTGAGCTTAAAATACAAGACTACCATATTAAAGTTTTTTGTTGACCTCGGTTTCAGCAAAGGCTATGAGAGTGCTGTAAATGTCTTTTCCCATTTATCTGAATGTGGACTGTTCAGGAAACTTGACTTTCAATTAAAAGTATTTCTAATTAATTGGGCCAGCTTTTAAAATGATGCCACATTTTAAAATAGGGGAAACATTCCTCTATTGTGGTTTGCCCCTTTATAAATCAGATAGACATGAAGAACGAAGACACAAACTTTGCATCTCAGTACGAATGAGCCAACTTATTCGAATTTGATTTTTCTTTACGAAACCCAAACTCATTCATTAGAGTCATGTTTATCTGCTTAACAGTTTAGGGGACAATTTGGCAATTTTGTGGTTTGAGATTATCGTTCTCTTAAAGTGCCAGGGTTTTAAAATAGCGTTATTGTAATTTTACACACTTTTGTGATGGAGTGCTGTTTTGTTATATAATTTTGACTTGGATTCTTTCCATTTGCATTTGTTTATGTAATTTCAGGAGGAATACTGAACATCTGAGTCCTGGATGATACTAATAAACTAATAGTTGCAGAGGTTTAAAAAAAAAAAAAGAAATGCAGCCAATGGATTACACTGGGGCTTGAAGAAGTGCAGGATTCAGGCATGTTTCTACCGCAGGGCATAAACACGCAGGGCACAGAACACATGCTCCAAATCTCTACCAAAATGCTGGTCTTTTCAGATGACTCAGAGAGTATGTGTGGGTTCAAAGCAGAACAAACCCTGCTAATTCCCAAACTGACCTTTCTAGGGTATATGTAATCAGGCCAGTGGGTTACAGAAGCAGTCAAAAAGTGTGGAGTTCTTACTCCCTACTCTACCTTCCCTAATAGTTTTGGAGTCATCTAGATGGAAGAGTTTGTTAGTCAAGAAAACACGGACAGCACAAAAAGTGGTTTCCATTTCTAGGTGGAGAACCAAGGGAAGAGGTTGGGGTTGTCAAAACCTAGAAACTAGGGGCGGGCCCCATAGTCTAGTGGTTTAGGGAGCTGGATCCCACATGGCCGACTGCAGTTAGCGTCCTGGCCCCAGTATCTTGAAAAACATACTGGTGTGTGTGTGAATGCATTCCCCAAATCCTGTTAGGATAGAGAAATGGAGAAGGGGTTGAGGCATGACCATGCCTCCTCAGGGGTGCTTTCTCCTTCTCACTCTTCCTGTTTTTTTTTTTTTTGTCTTGAGTGCATGCACCTTCTGGCAATTAAAAACAAACAAAACAAAACAAAACCAGAACTAGAAACTTGGAGGAGAAACCTCTTGTAACAAATGTTGTTGTAGTCTGCCACCCAGCTCTTCCTTCAAGACAGAGGAATAAACTTGGGATGCTAATGAGGGCTGGTGATGGGAGACAGCTGAGGGCTATCAGCTAGCTGCAGAAATTTCCCTGAACTGGGAAGAATCAGCTCACAGTCCACTCCTTAAGCAGGTCACAGCCAATGATTGATCCATGTAGAATATGAAGTCTCTGCCCCTTTGTCCCACCTGGGACAGTACTGAAGGGCCGTCTAACTAAAGAGGTCCTCATAGGGGTTGGCTAGACCCTTGGTTGGGACTGCTTCACAGCCCAACTTCTCCCTTGCCCAATCTTGCTTCTTTCTTTCCTCTAGGAACACCCTTGGATAAGGACTTAGGTGGGTAGTTTATGTGGGAGGCAATTCCAGGAAGTGTGATGAGAGAGTGGTGAGTCCAGCGAGGGAGGAGAGCCAAGGAAGGGTACCTACATGCACGAGGATCACTGTAGACAGCTGAAGCTTATCCTTACTAGGAGACGAAGTTTACCCCTCGGAGCGATGTGCAGAACACTTCAAATGCCCCACTTCTAGGCAAGAAAGTTGGGGTTTTATCCAACAATTCCTGCCCTTCCTTGTTCCAGGGCACTTCTAGTCGTGGTAACTTCCTGCCACTTCTGACCTGATTTGAGAGAGCATGCTTCCATAGCTGGGATATGTGTCGAGGCAGAGAGCTGCAGGAAGCTGTGGGCACCAGCAGCGGCCATATGCAGGTAACTCCCGAGTGGCTGATGGGGTGCTGTGGGTGCTGCTGCACAAGGAACCTAGGATTCAGGGCTTCCATGGTTCTGGGAGGAACAGCACATTGTGGGCGCAAGATTGTGAAAAATAGGAGCAGTGCTACTCAATCTGGTACTGAGATTTTCTATAATGGTTGTAACCCTGAGTCACTGGGTGGAGGCAGGGCAGGGGTATTGTAAAAATGATAAAGTCTGGGACCAGTAGTTAGTGTAATGGCTATGTCACTGGACTCCCATGTAGGCAACTGCGATTTGAGTCCTGGACCCGGTGGCTTAAACTCACACTGGGCACATGTGTGTGCGTGCCCAAGATCCCGAGAGGAGAATGGAGGAGAAGGGATTGTGACATGGCTATCCTCCCTGGGGGGTGATTTGTCATTTTCTGTCTCTCTGTCTCTGTCTTTCTGGCGAGCACACGCACCCTATAGCAAAAACCTCCTCCCCGTCAAAAAAAAGAAAAAAACTGCGATTTGAGTCCTGGACCCGGTGGCTTAAACTCACACTGGGCACATGTGTGTGCGTGCCCAAGATCCCGAGAGGAGAATGGAGGAGAAGGGATTGTGACATGGCTATCCTCCCTGGGGGGTGATTTGTCATTTTCTGTCTCTCTGTCTCTGTCTTTCTGGCGAGCACACGCACCCTATAGCAAAAACCTCCTCCCCGTCAAAAAAAAAAAAAAAAAGATTAAGTCAACAAAAAACTGGATCAAAGTAACTCTGAGGAGGCTTTCTAATTTTTATGACTCCATGGAGTTACTATGGGGGTGGTGACATTTAGGACTCGTTCCTGGGTATGCTGTTACCTCCTGGCTGGGACTGTAGTTCTCTGAGGTCAGTGGCATAGAGGATTGTGGTGGGTGAACTGTTTTGCTGACAGCTCTCAAATGGTCCCTAGATTTCTGCCTGGATCTTCTTTGGAGACTCATTTGGAGAACCTGGAAGAATGATGGCTTCTATTTCTTGCAACCCACACAGCAGGGGAGTTTTATTTATTGTGATGGGGAATAAAGTTAGGTGCCATAATTGACAGCTTATCACTGATACTGCTCAGCCTTCTGCAGGACAGGTAGGTAGGGGAGGGTTGAGAAGAGCACTTCACTGGAAGACGACAGGTATGGCAAACTGGACTAGTTAGTCCCTGGGATTGACAGAAAGGAACGCAGCCATTTCTGCTGAAATGACCAGCAGACCGAAGAGGACTGTCTGCATCCTAAAATTGTTTGGGGTGGTGTACCGTTGACATTTTGGAATAAAGGGTGAGACTTGGCCTTCATTTATACTTTGGAGTTCATGGCCTTTTACATCCTTCCCCCTTTTTTCCCCTTTAAAAGGCATATGAATTTGCTAAAGAGAGAGAAAAAGAGAGAAAGGGAGAAAAGAAAGCATCCCCCGTGAGGAATAGTCATGCCATAATCTCTTCTCCATCTCTCTACCAGATCATGGGTTGGCCTTTCTCCCCTTTTTAAAAACTGTTTTCTTTTTCTGCTGTCTTGCCCTTAGGTAAGAATATGTTTCTCTACTCTAGATCTGCTATATTAACCAAACTTCACAGTTTAAAACAACAATTTATTATTTCACGTGAACCTGTA